AACGGCATCCCAATCATAGACCCCCCTGCATGGCGATTTCGGTGCTTTCTTGAGCGACACCGGTAACAGCCAGTGTCGGATGATCGGGTGAGAGATTGAGTGGCGCCATGCGACGATGTGACCATGTCCGTCGTTGATTCGTGATCATGTTATACGAGTGACCCTGTGACCGTCACTGGGATGTTTCCATTCTTGTAGCACCAATTTCACTGAGGACCATGGCTCCACTGGTGAAGGAAGACATCCGTGTTCGATTCCCAGCCCTCGCACATCTCGATGGCACAGCCAGGCACCAGTCCGTGGGGCAAGCGGACGAGCCATGGATTCATGCGTTGCTGCTCGCTGTGAAGAAGTGGACCGGCCTGGCTGCCCTCATCAACACCAGCTTCAATTCCAAGGGCAGGCCCATCACAAATCGGGTCCAAGAGTGCGTGCAGATGTTGCGCGACTTGCCGGATCTGGATTTCGTCCTCATCGAAGACTGGCTTTTCGAAGCCCCGAGATGAAGCGAAAATGCCTGCGCTCTCCGACCTCATGTCCTGCTCAGACACCGTTCATTTGTTGCGAACAAGATGTGTCATTCTTCACGTCTCATGCCTGGTCATTGTGTCCTGGCTTTCAGCTTTTCGGAGGGGGGTGCAAGCACCACATCAGCAACGGGCAAGGATAACCTTGGTCAGCTACGTACAACGAGCCAATTATAAGTATTTTCATAGGATGCATATTCGTGTTCCGCCGTCTCCAGTCGTGCTCCAGCCACGGTCCTGTGACGTCTCAAATGGGCGCAGCGGCATGGCATTGGACCGCAAGGTGAAATCATTCTCTCGTCACAGTCCTTGTGCGCAGGGCTGGGAGTTCTGGAGATGATAAAGCTTCTTCGGTCGGGTTTGTTCACTCACCCTGTTTGGTTGGAAAAGTTGAAAGAAGATCCGCCGAGCATTCGTGCCCGGCTCCAGCCTTTGGAGTCTACGATTTTGGTTTGTTTGGAGTCTCCAGATCCTGTCTTATTCTCTTTTTCCTATATGGTTTATATGAGCATTGATCTACAGGTCCTTGTCGCAGTGTTTCTACAGAACGACCACGGGCATAGCACAACATGCCTCCACGACAATTCCGTGATGACTCCGCTAAAGGTTTTTATGCGAAAGTGCTTGCGTAATTTATTTGCTTACTATTGCTACTGCTGCTGCTGCTGCTACTACTACCACTACCACTACCACTACCACTACCACTACCACTACCACTACCACTACCACTACCACTACCACTACAGATCGGA